TAATGACATCTTTGGCTTGTGTTTAATTGTATAAACTTCACTACCTGCTGGCGAGTAGCTCAGCTAGGAAATTAAATGGCTTATGTTAATTAATGTTTATGCCATATAGCGCCCGCTGTGTCTCGTTTGGCTGTGCCATTGGCATTGGCCTTTGGTGCGAGCCAGGCCTCAACTCTTAGCTTACACAGGGATCCAGTTTCTAGCTAACCAGCTGCTTGGTCAGTGCAATTAACTCTTGCTCGATAACAGCTTCGATTTCCAATTACCCATTCAGGTGAAAATTCATAAATTATATTTAACATGAAGCAAGAATCAAAAGAAGTTTTTTTTTTTTAATAATCATTTAAATGACTTTTCTCTGCTTTAAATATTCTAAAAATTAATTAACTTATTTAGAACTGATTTAGTGTGAATTGAAACGGTATGAATCACTCAGTCGAAGCTTCAATTTCAACTTTGATACAAAAGGCATACAAAATGTTATATATATTGAATCTGTATATACTAATTTACTTGCATTTAACTAATTAATGCCCAAAATGAAGATTGTCAATCTTCAAAAAGAATGAAAAATTTCGACCTAGAACTTTGCACTTTGTCGAAACGGTATTTTAAAGGCAGCCTAATCGAGCTCAAATTTAAATATATGATATTATACTGAAACGGCTTTATTCAAAAAAGAATATTTCTAATTGGAGTAGTCGAGAGCCAGTTTCATTTCCTTGGCTCGAGACGACTTTGTTTCGCCTCTAATTGCCAGCTGCCTTTTATAGCCAACTCCGAGACGTTGACATTTAAGGCAGCGCCCACAACATCCGCTGAGGCAGGCGGCCCAACCCGAAACAAACACTTTAAGCTCAGGAATTTGTTCGATTTTAGTATTTTTTGTTTTATTATTATTATTATTATTATTATTTTTTTTTTTTTTTTCAAATGCTTTTGCACAAATATTGAATCAGTCATCGCCCAGAAACTTCAAGTGCTTGGCCCGAGTCAAACACTGTGTACATTTTCTATGCATAATGAGGTGAATAAAAATAAATTTTTTATGCTGCTCTGCATAATTCCAGAGGCAGAACTTTGGCATGCAGAGCGCAGGTGTATATAAGTATATACATATATTTACATAACGATAAATATATAAATAAACAGCAAAGCGAATGGGAAATGGAGAATGTAAATTGGAGAATGGGCAGCAGAACAAACGGCAGCTGTCGACGCGGCCACGCATAAATCTCACGTGTAAATGTGGAACAAACAACACGCACATCTCTCTCATCTCAGATCAAAGTTTTATTTAAATATCTGCGCTCATCTCGCGTTTTCGATTTTCGGCTTCGGGGGAATCTTCTTGTGGTAATTTGTAGATCTGTGAATTGGGTGAGGTTGCAGCTTGATCTATGGCTCTGGCTTTTGACTCGAATGGTGAACACTAATTGAGTGCAGCCCCGTTTCTGGATCGCTAATGGAGCGTTTGATTCGATTACAGCCTCAGCTGTGTGATTCAATCAACAGACTCACTGCAGCGCATCCAGCATTTATGGCTTCTGTTTCGTTCTTCTTTGCAACACAAAACGTGTTTGTTGTTGTTATACACACACATGTATATATATATTTGGATAGGTATACATATGTATAACGATCTCCACACATTCTTCGCATATTTTTGGTGTGTAAAATGCGTTAAGAGTCCAGAGATTAGCCTCCTAGCGGCAATTGGCCAAGTGCAGCAGACAAGAGAAAATACCGAATCGGGCGAGAAGAGAACTTTCTGCTGCTGCTGCTTCTGTTGCTCCGGCTGCTGCTGTTGGCTAAACCTGTTGGCCCCAATTGGAAGTCGCAGACGAGGCGACGGTCAGTTAACTGTTTCGTAGCCTGTAAGCGGCACCAAAAGTTTTGTATGCCAACGATCAGATAAAGGCAAATACAAAGAGTCGAATGCAAAATATTGAAATGGCCTGGCGGCACGGAACGGGTTTAATGCCTGGAACTGCTAAAAATACAAAAATACCTGCATGTACTCTCTTACATACACACAGATATATACATATGTATATATAGCATTTGGCAAAGCAAATTCTCGGGCATCAATTAAATGGCGCGGAACCCAGCTGACCGACTTTTGCGCCAGTCGAATTCAACTTTATGGCTAACGAGCTGACACCCGTCCTGGCTGGCCTGGCTAGATCCGCAAGTTCGGAGCATGAAATTTATGCAGATTTATTTGTGTTACATTTATCTGCAGCAACAGCAACAGCAACATCTCTATAGATATCTCTGYTTCCCTGGGCTCATCTCATCTCTCGCATTCCATGTGGCGAGAGCGCGATGGCTAAACTTGAAAACCAGCTGCAAGTTGTTGTTTGGCCGCCGCAACATGTTGTTGTGGTCGGATGTTGGCGGTCTTCGTTTAAAGTTGTCTTGTTGATGCCCATTTTTATGGTCAAATAGCACAACAATTTGTTGCAAATTCTCTGCTGCGCCATGTGTGTCAGTTTTGCTCAAATTTGGTCAGCCGGCGAGGCACTTGCGAACCCTTTGCTGCTATAGACCTACTGCAGCCTCCACTTGGTTAGCGCCTGGCTGAGAATTGGCGCACATTGCAGCCTCGTCTGTGGCCATAAACAAATCGAGTATCGAGTATCGATGCCGCAACCGAATGCAAATGAGTGAAAGAAAAAATGCCAGCAATTAACAAACAAACAAAAAAAAAAAAAAAAAAAAAAAAGAAGCCGAGGAATTCGTTGTACAACTGGCCAAGAATTTAAAGCAATTTGTTGGCATGACATCAGGCAAAGCAAAAACACGGCAGCAACTGTTGGCAGCGTCACAGTTATGCAATTAGCTGCGCGCTGAATCCACCTCCCCTCGCCCTCCCACAGCGGCCAGCTGATAGCAATGGTATTCGCGAACGGATTGCACAAAGCCAAGATTTATGCATATTAACGCTTAACCAAAACGCTGACCCAAAAAATAACGGTAGCAGTTGCTGCTGCTGCTGCAAATGCAAAAATCAAGCGTAGCATCAGCAACAGCCGCAGAAGCTGCACAGCGGCAACCGTTTAACAATGGGTCAACTTTCGTTCGTGTTGGCGTTGATAAATGTGCCCAAGAAACAAACTCCATGAANGTGAAAAAAAAAAAACCAGCAATTAACAAACAAAAAAAAAAAAAAAAAAAAAAAAAAAAAAAAAACAAAAGCAAACAGCAACTCGGGCAATTTATGTGTAGCAGCGGCAAACAAATGCGATATGCAAAGCAAAAACACGGCAGCAACTGTTGGCAGCGTCACAGTTATGCAATTAGCTGCGCGCTGAATCCACCTCCCCTCGCCCTCCCACAGCGGCCAGCTGATAGCAATGGTATTCGCGAACGGATTGCACAAAGCCAAGATTTATGCATATTAACGCTTAACCAAAACGCTGACCCAAAAAATAACGGTAGCAGTTGCTGCTGCTGCTGCAAATGCAAAAATCAAGCGTAGCATCAGCAACAGCCGCAGAAGCTGCACAGCGGCAACCGTTTAACAATGGGTCAACTTTCGTTCGTGTTGGCGTTGATAAATGTGCCCAAGAAACAAACTCCATGAACTGAACGCTGGCCTGTTGTCATCTTTGTTGTGAAGCTTTTTTGGGCCGCTTTGTCTAGCGGCAGCCGTTGTTGTTGTTGTTGCTTGGGGTGTTGTCGCTGTTGTCAGCAGCAACACTTTCCCAATTAGACGCCGCCACAATATGCTGCTGGCAAATTGATGTAAAAACTCACTTGCAATCTTAGCTGGCCCTAAACGGGGCTAATGGCTTAAAGACATAAATGCCGCATTCTTTGTTCTGATGGCTGTGTGAGCAATCCTAACTGTAACAACAGAAGCATTCTGAGAACGTCGGATTTGGTTACTAATACCTGCTCGCCGTATTTCGTCACTAGAATGAAACACTGTATGGGTATATAATTATAAAATTTTAAATGACAAATATATCCAAATGACCTCAAAATATAATTGCCAAACATTTAAACGTTTATCTTATATTTGCCAATGCAAAGACCAATTTTCTCGTTCAAAATTATTCCGTTTCAATGAATTAAATTCTTGAGGAAATACAAAAAATAATGAATATAGCTATTTCTGTTAAGGAAACTGGTTTGCCTTCCTGCCACGTTTGTCTATAAGTATATACGATACTCGACTTTTTGTTTAGAAATTTTCAAAGTTTTTACGCTTTTTGGGCAGGTTGAGTATTCCACAGTTTTTATGTTAATGTCATTTAATGCACACACATAGAGACTGTCACTTCCCTGGGCAATTTTAGAAAGTCATAGAGACGGCAACAAACTAACTAACAACAACAACTGATTACCCAACAGCAATTGGAGACACTGTCCAAGTGGCGAGAGAGCAAAGCAAACACAGCATTGTCGATGGCCATGTGACAAAGAGTGTGAGCAAAAAACATGCTCAGTGAATCCCCAGTGCTGCAGCAGTAACGACAACACCAACACCAACAACAGCAACAGACAACAAATATGTCGAAAACAACAAAAATCATTTCAATAATTTCATTATCAAGATGAAGATTGATTGATAGTCGCGATGGTAAATGAATGCTTGGCTGCCTGCTTGGTGAAGACATTGAATAGCCAGCCGCATGGCCACTTGGTCAATTGGTTTCGGCTGCCTGGGTAGGCGAAGCCGACTAATGCGAATTGCCCAGCTGGACTACTGCGAAATGTTGCTGTTAGCGCTCTTATATTTACATTCAATAATTTTGAATCATGATGCAGAAGCTGCACTTATGTAGTGAAAGTTGATTGTTGGGCCGGCCAGTGCAACGGCAACTTGAGTAGCAGCAACAGTTGCTGGCAGGGCTTACGCAATCGGCGTCGCAATGAAAGTTTTTATCAGTCTTTAAGTTGATGCGCTAATAACACGGCGCAACACTGTAATGACAATGACAACAATGCAAAGCAATACTCATTTGACTTTATTTTCTTTGCAATTGCAGAATATGGTGGAATAAGTTGGACAGCAGCAACGGCAACGGCAAATCAGCAACAGCAACAATCACAACAGCAACAGGCAGCAACAACACACAAAATGTCCTCCTCGATTTGCTCGCACTTCACGCAAAATGCGTGGAAAAAGGATTTGTGCTCGAACTGCTTCAAGTCCAAGGATGAACACAAAGCAGCTGCTGCAGCCGCAGCTGCCGCACAGCAGGGCACTAAGCTGAGCGCTCTCAAGTCAGATAGCCACACAAAGACTGATTACCCGAACAAGCACAAAACGCCAGCCAAGAGCATCATCAAGAAGGCGTTTGGCGTGCGCCTCACCACAACTAGCAGCAGCAGCAGCAGCAGCAGCAGCAACAGCAACAGCGGCAGCAGCTTCAGCAAGTCGAGCAGCAGCTCCAAGTCAAGCAAGGTTTGCTTTCCCAAGCAGCTGCACGAGATCATCGGCTATGGCGGCGAGTGGTCGGAGGACGATGACGACGATGATGATCATGACTTTATGAATCTGGGCAACGAGCACGATGACATGGCCATCACGGAGACTGACGACGAGGAAGCCATCGAACTGAAGCGCATTACACGCGCCAACACAGACTTCAATATGAACAATGGCAATCTGCTGGGCGATGCGCAGGACAACATCAAGAAGTCATTCGCTGCCCTCAAGCTGGGCGCGCCCCAGGTGGACAAGGAGGGCAAGAAGCAAACGCTGACGATCAATGTGATGCCCTTTGGGCAGCCGCTAAAGTCAGCTGGCGCCAAGGCAGCGCCGTCCAAGTCAACGGAAACGTCCAAGGCAACAACAACAACAACAGCATCAACTGCAGCCACATGCAGCAGCACAGTGACAGCCAAGCCTGTGGCAGCAGCAACGAGCACAACAGTCAAGAGCACCATTACCAGCACGGCCAACAAGAAGGTGACCACAACACTGACTCCCACGCTTGTGAAGCCAACGGCAGGGGCAGGGGCAGGGGCAGGTGCATCGGCGCGCGATGGCAAGGACAGTCCGCCCATTGAGCGAGCGATGGAGAAGTCTCTGCTGGACGAAATCTCCGAGACGCTGCAGCAGAAGCAAAAGCAAAAACAAAACGAAATCAACTCGGCGGCAGCAGCCACAGTCACAACAACAACAACAACAGTTGCAAGCAGCAGCAGCAGCAGCAGCAATAGCAGCAGCAATAGCAGCAGCAAAATCAAATTCGAGCTGAGCTCACTCACCGACTCGCCAAAGCCATTTCTCGACCTTAAAAAATCCATTGCGCGTAATGCGCCCATAACCAAGGATCACACCAAGCCAAAGGTGAATGTGTGCCACAAATACTCCGACACGGACAGCAACTGCTCGGACTCGGAGAACGGTGTGTCCGCTTATTACGATGTGGTCGAGACGCAGCTGAGCTACGAGAACTTGCCCGATGGCAAGTACAGTGAACAGGTGGGCGTGGCCAGCGCCCAGGCGGAGTCGAAGAGCACGCACTACTCGAGCTCCCAGTACATAACGGACATGCTGCTCAGCTCGAAGACACGTGCCGCCAGCTACAATCTGCACGAGGGCAACTTCATGACCAGCAAAATAACCTCAGACGGACTGATTGTCACCAAATGCAGCTCGGACGACGCACTGGACTCCACGGGCAGCAGCTTTGACGGCAGCTCCGATGAGGAGAATACCTACAACATGATACGCAGCGAGTCCGACTCGGGCATTGGCATTAGCATTGGCAGCGACTACAAGAATCTGCCCAGCGGCGCAGTCAAGGGCAGCATCGAGCAACGCTCGCTGGTGGAGAAGAAGCTCAGCGCCAGCACCAACAACTCGGACTACGAGGACATACAGATTGGCGATCAGTCTGGCAACCAGGCGGCAGTCAAGAGCCGCGAGCTGCATGGCGAGCCCGATGGCAGCGCCGATCCGGACAACAAGCTGGAGCAGAATCAGCAAGAGAAGAAGCAGGAGTCAGCGCCAGAGGCGATGCCACAACAGCTGCCAGCGCTGCCCAAGTCGCCGCCGCCGCCAATGAAAATCGACGCGCGYCCCTCATTCTTGCACGGCCTCAAGAAGCCCGAGCTGCCCGCTAAGCCGCTCGTCAACGTCGGCAACAACAACAGCAACAGCTGCATTAGCAGCAGCAGCAGCAGCAGCAACAACAACAGCAATGGCAATGTTAACAACAACAACTCGCTGTTGAAAACCTTTATGATCAAGCGACAGCCCGGCAACGCCGAGCAGCAATTCATCAGCCAGCTCCAAACGGCAATTTCCAAATCAAGCGAAAATTTGCTATTAGCTGCTTCAGCCTCAGCAGCTGCGGCTGAGTCAGCCAAAGATGATGCCAAACTTAAAAAAGGCAAAGCTCCCAATCCGCCACCAGAGCCCAAAACGAGTGCACCGACTACGCCGGAGCGCGATTACAGTTTGGTAGTTGAATTCGAGCAGGCAATAACTGCGGAGTCTGCTGCTGCCAAACCAGCGGATACTCCAACTAGCACGGAGAAATCGCCAACAGCAACAGCAGCAGCAACTGAAAGTGTTGCCGGAACACCCACAGCAACTAGAACAACAACTGCAACAGCAGCAGCAACGGCAGCAGCAACAGCAGCAGCAACCGCCACAATAGCATCTGGCAGCAGCAGTAATATGTATACCAGAAAGCCGCCTGTGGCAGCCGCTACACCGGTCATACGTGAAAAGGACAAGCGGGAGCGAGCAGTCATTAATCCCAAGTTCCGCAGTCTCAACAATTTCGTGATGCAACGTGCCAATGCAACAAAGCAGCTACAGTTGCAATCGTCCACCTCTGTGCTGAACCTGAAGCAGCCGTTGACGCCGGAGCCAACGCCGCGCAATCAGCGGCATCTGTCCATGTCCGAGGAGTGCCTGGCGGCGGCTGGCCTAACAGATGCGAGCAGCAAATCTTCGAAGTCGCCGAACGCATCGCCGCCACAGAAACAGAAATCCAAGTTCTCGATCAAGAAGTTCCTGCGCATGGGCAGCAACGGGGGCAAGTCCAGTGAGCCGCTGACCAAGAAGGAGGGCAGCGTCTACACCGAGATCTGCACGGGCGACGATGGCAGTGTTGTGGGCAAGCCGCGTCTGGTCATCATACATCCCATTGACATCAATCCCACGGCCGTTGAGGTTGTCAAGGACATCACGAAGACCAACGATGCTGTCTCCGCGCAGACGGTAGCCGTAGTCACCGCCAAGCCGCCAGCACCGCCGCTGCGCGCCAGCGAGGGGCAGCGCAGTCATGAGGCCAATAAGCCGGCACGCCCACCGCCGCCCAAAAGCGCTGAGCTGCGTCGCAAGCAGAAGACGGAGCTAACTGCCACGCTCAGCTCGAGCAGCGTGGATTCGGCAAAAATCAGCGGCAATCCCAATGCCGGCGGCTCCATCAAATCTAAAGCGGACAATGTCTATGCCAATTTGGGTGAGTTTGAAAATAGATGGCCTAAGTGGGTAACTGGGACGACCGAATTCCATAAATAATCAATCAGTGGAGTGCTAGCGTGGGTGTATCTCGCTCTTTCTACGAGCGTGATTGCGATCGTGATCCAATTGCGATTCCAAAAGAAAGCGCAAACAGATCACGTTCCCTGACAGCGCCCAAATGCCATGGCATAAAGTCATGCGACCTTCAGAATGTGGCTCTAAAGGGCCTCTTGTGCGTCAAATGTGCCAGTTGGCCAAGTCGTAGCCCCAAAGAAAATATCATAACTCGAAAGTAGAACCAAAACCAAACGAGTTACGCATTTCAATCAATATAACGGGCTCACGGCGATGGCGATCCGCAGAAGCCGTCGTCGCTTCACATAGCCATAAGTCGGGCAGGTAGCCAGATTAAAGTAGGTTAAGTGAGCCAGCCAAAGCTAAAAAGTAAAATATGTGAGTTTAACAGATGAACAAGCAGAACAGCAAYAGCAACAGCAACAAAAATCGAAATGAAAACAAACCAAAGCCCAAAGCCAATGAGGTAACCACATGTGAGTGCCTAGGCTAGTCAGCTAAGAGCATGCCACCGGAAAACTGGTGAGACAAGAATCGCTGGCAGTGAAAGATTTAGAATCCGAGACCCATTTCTTGGCTGTCATTTTGTGGTCAGGCCAAATGTGGCGAGAACTTGTTACACCTGTTGCGGCCGGCAGGTGGCAGGTGGCAACTGGTGAAGGGGCCAGCGCACAGCACATCAGCTCAGCACTGTTGTCTGCGGAAAAGCCATTTGCCAGAGATCTTGGCCACTAGGCACCATTATGCGAATTGTAATTTGGGTCAAAATCACAATTAGTGTCGCAGGTTATACAGAAAAAACAAAACCAACAAACTAGCAAAAAAAAAAACATGGCCAGCTGTTGCAGTCATTTGGCATTGTGGCGGCCATGAAACTTGGCCAGCAAATGTTTCGTATAGATTAGATCTATAGATTCGCATAGGAAATTCACCGGCATGCAAAAATGCAAACATTATCTAGATAAGCATTAACAAATTCGTGCATCTCTTATTTCGTATGCTCTGATGTATATGCAGGCGAGATCCGCTCCTCGATAGCGCCACGCAAGCCGGAGCGCACGGCGAGCATGCGGGAGCGTGAGGCACAGCTAGAGCTGGTCCGTAAGCGGGGCGTACTTACCGATACTATCTCCATTTGCTCGTCAAACGGTGAGAATGTAACGGCCGAACAGTCCAAGGTGTGCAACACGAATCCTTTCGAGGTTGGCAAGCCGCCGGCCAGCTCAGCCACAGCCGGAACACCACCCACTGTCAACAGCCGCACGAGCACATTCGAGCGACAGCCGAAGAAGGCCGAGACCAAAATGTCCATATCCAGCAAGCTTGAGATCTTTGAGCAGCGCGCCCAAGGCACAGCCGATGCCACGGACAGTGCCCAGCGCAGCAGCCTGAAGGATTCGGTACGCAAGATCAACAGCACCATCGATAGCTACCTGAAGGACAAACGCGACTATGAGAACATGTACGAATTTGTCAAAATGGGCAATGGCAACAGCAGCTCGACAACGGCAGCTCCGGCTACGACAGCGGCGCCCACGCCTCCACTGCCGCCCATTCGCAGCAGTAACCTAGATCTATCCGCTATTGCCGGGCAGCGACTCAATGGCCGATCTGCCGGACGCAACAATATCTACTCGGATACGGCTTCCATAGCTAGCTACACGCGCAGCGAGTACGGTCCCGTACGCAACTACGGCCTGAACAGCAGCTTAGGTAAGTTGAATGCTATACATAAGTCTCTGGGCTAATCCTATCTGAATTATCTTATTTTGTAGCCAACATTCCACGCGTCATCTCGGCTTCATATGCGGGCAGCGAAGTAGGTGACCTCGACATCTACGCACCCTACAGCTACTACGGCAGCGAGGCTGGGGGAGATGTGGCTGCGGACATCAACGACAGCGTCTGGGGCATGCCAACGGTAAGCGAGAACAACTTAAATATTTGAGAGAACATCCTAAGATACCAATCCAATTTCGATCCCATTTAGGGCAACAAGAACCGCAGCAAGGCCACGAATCGTTTGCGCATGCGCAAGGGACGCAGTGTCGTGCACAAGAACATCGAAGACAACTACACAGCGGTTGTAGTGGCCAATCATGAGGCACTTGCCCAGGTGCTCGATCAGGTGAGTCCCACATGCTGCACATCAAACCGACCCAAAACAATGTATATTAATAAATGTAATACCTCAATAGCTTCAACAAACGCCTGTTGTGCCAGCTTCACTGCGGCCGCTGGCCAATGCCATTAACTTGCGCTACGAGGACTTTACCATTATTGAGGGCGCTCAGGCATTTGTCGTGGGCAAGAAAGCCTTCCATGCGGCACTGTGGACCACATCGCCCGTGACCTTGGCCCTGTCGGCTGACTGTAATCAGCTGGGGGGCGTTGGGGGCGAGCTGAGCCAGCTGACGGGAGGCGTTTGCGATGTGCTCAATCCCATAACGGAGTTCTGCGACCTGGTTCCCAGTTACCAGCTGCCACTGATGCCCACAACGGAGGTGACACTGCTACAGGCCACAATATCGGTGCTGCCCAGGCTTCAGCTGGAGACGCTGCAATCAATCGGATCCATACTGAAGGGCAAGTCCCAAGTGCTGGACAAGAGCAACTTTAACTTCCGAGGCTCGATACCAAATCTGAATAGCCTGAAGGATGCAGCTGGTGGCAATGCGCTACGAAATGTGGTATCCGTGCAGAACCTGAGCACATTGAATGAGGAGTCGACGTCGCCTGGCAACACGGAGGCCAACGATGGTGAGGAGATCACAGCCACGCCCCATGCAATGCCCGCCTTCGATGATGTCATGACGCGTGAGGTGGCATTCATAATGCTGCAGCTGGTCAACGGCATGAAGAATCTGCAGGCGAAGGCCATTGAGGAGACCCCGTTGAGCCTGTCGAATGTGGTACTCTCCAAGGATATGGATAACAAGGATGCGCAGGCGCGCCTCTGTGTCTTACAAGGGTACGAAAATCTGGTCATTTACGAACTCAACCATAATCTCTACTACTATTACAGCAATAACAACGACGACGACGAGCCGATGGGTACGCTATGCAAGTGCGCTCACAGCGCGTTGACCGAGATGCTGCCCACCACAAAGATTACGCCCATTCTGGCCGATATTTTGCAACAAGAGCGCGCCGAATCTCTGTCCAAGGCCAAAGCAGTGCTTGAGTTTGTGCTCTGGGGACCGTCGGATGTGGCGCTCTCCGGCACTACAAAGGAACGTGAACTCGCGCTGCAGCGCTGGCTGGACCTGGAGCGGGCTACAGTGCTGCACGGCCTAGTGCGCACGCGCGTCGAGCTGACCGTCTACGATGAGTGTCATCTGATGTTCCTTGTGCGCTCAACGGCCAAAATGATGAACGACGCAGCCAAAATTGTATGCAGCTATCAGCAACAGGCGTCCCAATGAACAACGAACAACGCCGACTTATCATAGCCTTATATTTATTATCCCAGATTGTCATAGGCTCGTAGTCCTCTGAGTTGTAGTTTAGGTATACTTTGAAATGTTGGACTTTAATGTCCCAAAGAGACATATTCGATACGTGAAACTTCATACATATGATCGATTTGGTATTTATCGAATACTTAGTATGAACTATCCTTAAAACGATTTAAACGATACGACATTAACCATATACATACATATGTAAACCCCATTTTGCCAAGCGTGCCAAATCGAACAACGCATGGAAATTAACTTGTAAAAACGTTGTCTACAGTGAAACTTGAATTAATTGTAGTATACTTGTACTTCTAAGTTATTCTATGCGACTATTTATAAATGACATAAATTACATACTTATACGTAATAACCGTTAAAAACTTTTGAAAGTCTAATATCGGTTTGTAAAGGAAAACATTGGTGTTTGTTTTAAATATACATTCGATACGATATTGTATACCTATCAATATTCAAATAAATAAACTCGAAAGTCTATAAAATAATTATGTATATTTTTATTATATATATTCTAATCTAAATATGATCTGATAATTTACATAGTAATACAATTGAATATCGACTGCGATTTGCTTTTCTGGTCCAAAATTTAAAATACACAATCATCTTTTAACAATCTTTACAATATATTTTCCAAATATCAGTCATCAGCAGTGTAAACCAATTTTATTTATTTAAACATTCTGTGAATATTCCTACAGTACTCATGAAATAATCTTTATAAAAAGCTTTATGTATGTATGTATGTATATTTATAGTATGTATATATGTATATCATGCAGAGAGATTACTTAGACTCTTTAACGATCATATTTATAAAGAGAATCACTTCAGCTGAAAGCTTTCATATCATCGTTAGATGTGCTATTATTGTGTGCTTTTCCAAATGTACAAATTGAAAAAGCTTTTGAGCAAGAATATAAAATCCGAAGTAAACAAACCTGTTGCTCAGTTCTCTATTGATCGTGAGTGTAAAATGTTGACGCAGAGAGTCAAGCTACAGCAGCTAATACGGGCTATACCATTAGAACAGGTTAATTTAATTTCAGCATGAATTGCGATTTAATTTTTTTATCATACATTCGTTATTTACCTTATCATTATAATTGATATCGAATGCAGCGCCAACGAACATATGCTGTGAGTAATGCATTAAACGTAGCGGAAAATGAGACAAACGTAGGGAAGCCTATTGGATGGGACCAGGCGCGGCCATACAATGAGATACCCAAGGTTTCCCTGTTTTACTTCATGCGCCATTTGATGCCCGGCGGAAAATACTATAAAAAACAGTTTCCAGAGATTATGTTGGACATGCGTCGTCAGCATGGTCCTCTCTTTATATTGCCCAGTTTGGGACCATATGATTTTCTTGTATCGAACGATCCGCAACACTTTGAACAGGTCCTGCGAGCCGAAGGACCCTGGCCGGAGCGTCCAGGGAGTCACGTATTGCACTATTTTCGAACAGTGACACGAAAGGAATTTTACAAGGACACCCCAGGAATATTAACAACGTAAGCTCGAATTCTTCTCTTCTAAGATATGAAAATGCCAAGTGCAAAAACTCATGCGTTTTACAGTCAAGGTGAGGACTGGGCGAAGTTCCGATTTAGTGTTAATCCAGTAATTATGCAACCGAAAACTGTTCGTCTGTACTATCAAAAAATGTCAGCAGTTAACAAAGAGTTCATTCAGCGGTAAATGAATCCAACAAATTTGCCATTGTACAAGTTATTTCTAACCGCTTTATTGCACTCAATTAGAATACGAGAGATTCGCGACAGCACCACATTTGAAGTTCCCGAAAACTTTGAAGAGGAGATCAATCGATGGACTCTTGAATCCGTTTCGGTGATAGCTCTGGACAAGCAATTGGGATTAATAAATGCCAATCGCAGCAATCCCCAGGCAAAGAAGCTTTTTGACGCACTCAATATATTCTTTGAACTATCGGGTGAACTTGAATTAAAGCCAACGATTTGGCGTTACATTGCCACGCCCAAATTCAAGAAGCTTATCAAAGTCCTAGGCGAAATCCAGGATATAACACTAGGCTATGTAAGCGAAGCTATCGAGCGACTAGAACGCGAGCCCTCCAACAAACCGGACCACGAAAAAAGTGTACTCGAGAAACTTTTGAAAACTGACCAACAGATAGCAAGAGTTATGGCTGTAGACATGCTGATAGCAGGTGTAGATACGGTACGAAGCAGTCGTTAATGTAATAAAAGCCTGAGATATCTACACTTAAAATATATTTGTCATTTCCAGACAACAACCGTGTTTACAGGTGTCCTTCTGTGTCTGGCTAAAAATCCGGAGAAGCAAGCGAAATTGCGTGAGGAAATTCGTAAAATTTTACCAAACAAGGATTCCGAATTCACAGAAGCCTCTATGAAGAATGTCCCATACTTGCGGGCCGTTATCAAGGAATCGCTGCGCCTTTATCCCTTAACATTGGGCAATGCTCGTGTGCTCAAATCAGACATTGTGCTAAATGGATACCAGATTCCCAGCAAAACAGCGGTCACGATGATGTCCACTGGCTTGCTCACCGATGATGAGCACTATCCCAGAGGTAAAGAATTTTTGCCCGAGCGATGGCTGCGACCGAGCAAAGAAGAAGCTTCAAGTGGGGAGTGCCCACACGCCCTTAAAGCGAGCAGCCCATTTATTTACTTGCCCTTTGGTTTTGGCCCACGCATGTGCATTGGAAAGCGTATTGTCGAAATGGAGTTAGAATTGGGAATCGCACGACTTATTCGCAACTTCAATATTGAGTTTAATTACCCCACGGAAAATGCATTCAAGAGTGTTCTAATAAATGTTCCCAATATACCTCTGAAATTCAAATTTACGGATGTAAAAGACTAAAATATTACATTAATATATAATATTGTGCTATATATAAACTTTGTATCTGGACATACTAATACGTAATATATTCTTTTATTATCGTCAAACATATATAATTACGAAATATATTGATGCGCCCCTCTAATGTACAATTGTTTTCAATAAACAAAATTTATAAAGGCTTATTTCACTGTTGACTCTTCTCAAAGATGTATATTTACAACATCGAATAATTTACATATAGCACATTTACTTTATTAAATCATCATCAATTAAATGTGAATTTAAATTTAGAACCTACTTAAAAATATAACACGGACCGACCTTCTTTTTATATGATGTGGTGTCCAACCCCCCCCCAGAAAATGTGCCTAAGAGAGCATATGTGGCTGTGATAATCGCAGCTTGACATCCTTGAGTTCATCCACAGCCAATAGCTCCACGTCCTGCTCCTCGCGATCGTACTTCAATGTCCCCCCCCCCATAACTGCATTCTGATGACATTTGGTCTCCTCGTGTTGGCGCATGTGATGTAGCAGGCGGAAATCCTTTTGGCAGTAGTCGCAACGATACAGTTTGATGTCGGAGTGTATAAGCTCGTGCTTAGTCAAAGAGTGAGCGTATGCGAAAGCCTTGTCGCATACCTTGCACACATATGGCTTGATGCCGCGATGCACACTGTCAGGTAAATAAATTGGTTATAGTTAATAATTTTTACCCCCCCCCCTACATACTTTTCATGCGATTTCAGCACGCTCTCGTAGAAGAATTGACGACTGCAGAAACTGCACTTATAGGGCTTGCTTCCTGTGTGGGAATACATGTGCTTGCGCAGCTGTTCGCGGACCTGGAACTTGGCTTCACAGAGTCTGCAAGCATGCAAATTATATTAAAACAGAAGTTTCACATGTTTTGTATATTTTTTGATACTTACTCGCACTGATATTGGCAAACAGCATCGCCCCCCCCCCGGTGTTCCATCATGCGTCCCCGCTTCTCATAGAAATTCCCACATACATCACAAACATAGCCACCTTTCTCGTTTCCATCCGATGTTCGGAGCGAGTTAAGGCCAGGCCGTGGCCGCCCACGTCTCGGTTTAATGTCAACGACTCCAGCCTCTAGACCATATTGATGCTGTAATTCCCCTTGCTCGGACTTCACTATATTCATGCCGAAGCGTGTTCGACCACGCCTCAGTTTGATGTCACCCTGCGTTACCGTGTTATCATATTTCGTCTCAAGGACGACATCATTATGCTCAGGATTCATTTCTATTGTATAGTTGTCCTCCAAGTACTCAATATCATCCGTTATGACTTCTTGTTGCTCGTGGGAGCCATCGACTTCCAAAAATTCATCGCTCTGTACATGATCCTCAACATCGGCATGACCCGAACTTTGTGCATCATTCATCACAAATTCATTCATTTCATCTTCTTGTTGGTGATGCTGTGAACCAAACTCCTCCTTTACAAGGTAATCATCGGCTTCATCTAAGAGGCCCAGTTCGCGACAATAGTCTTCAATTTCAGCTTGCTTGCGCAAAGCCTTCTCACGAAACTGGAATGCCATATTGAGCTCCACCTTGCATGGTTTACAAATACCATCAGGAATTTGATCCTTGCCATTCAGCTATAAGAGGAGAAAATGAAAAGTAAATAGACTCTTTTTGTGCGCATCTTATTTTAAAACAAATAATACGCACCTTACTAAAAGAAATGCCCAAGAGCTGAATAAGCATTTCATTTGGGGTCTCCTCACCCTCCTCGCGGGATTCATCAATCCGTTGTAAACGCTGGCTGGGCTCTAAGCACACTCGACAAGTGTTTGGACCAAGTTCAGCGCGCATCTTTTGTTTAATTGCGGTATAGAACAGTATTTTAGTGTTAAAATTTTGTCTGTGTTGTGTAAAGGTAAAGCGTCGGCCGTCTTAAGGAATCGCCATTTTTTCTGAGTAGCGATTACAGTTGCACAATCGTTATCGATAGCACTGGAGTTGCTCAAATTAGATAACAAAAAAATTTTGCAGCAATAAAATCAAAAAAATTAATTACTCTTTCTGTTTACAACAAAAAGTTCACAAATAAACAAATTTATATGCAAATATTAATAGCTTTTAGAATATATGTTATAAAATACTCATTTACGCATTTAATTTTTACGATTGGTACGCAGCAAAGATACTAAAATTTAAAAATACCAATAAATTGATAATACATGTACATATGTGTCTAAAAAATTTTTGGTAATAATTTACACAAATTTAATCTATGATTGGCACATCAATCTAAATAGTATTCAAATTTACTTTTATTGATAATTATTGAACTACTATATTGATTATTAAATGGAAAATCTATCGAAATACAACACGGTGTTTACAAATTAAATCATGGGGTATTTATCGGTAACATCAACTGTTGCAGTATCTGGCCACATACCGTGTATATTTTTCGAGACGCAGAAGGAACGGAGCTCTTATCTCCGCGAAAAATGGATTATTCCAATATATTTTATAATCTTATTAGAATTTAGTTTGTGTATTGGAATTTGAACAATCGTGGAATTTACTGTATCTGGCGCTCAAGGCGTACGCTCGCCTTAGACTTGGCTTGCCCATGCAGTTGGCAAAATGGTTTATTATCTTGCGTTGTTAACATCCGTGTCTTCCGTCGTCGCCAAAATGTTCGTTGCGCCAGTTATCGACTTCGCAATCTTCATCTCCTAAAGCACGCGTCATCAATCATTTAGTGCGTAAGTTCTTAGACCAATTCAAATTTGTTAGCATCGGGAAAAACAATAACAAACAAATAGCGTTAAAAAGTCAAAGTGCGTCCAGAAGTAACGCAGAGTGGTTGCTTCTGGCTGGTGGCTCGCGGGTTAGTGTTTTGAGAGCCAGCCCACCAGCTACCATGTCCGAGAAGCATGGCCAAATTAGTGGAGCGCAGTGGACGGCGAAATCGGCAGCAGCAGCGGCGGCGGCTACGGCAGCTTCAGCAGGGGTCACAACTGCATCCACATCGCTGCAGAAGCACCAGCAAACCAATCCTAATTCCAATTCAATATACGAAGCAACAGTTGCCACAAGCCCATATGGAATCTGTGGTGTGACTGTTCCAGTGCCGGACATTCCGACCTATACGTCTGGACGGTTCCAGGCTCCATCCATTCATTTGCAAGCGGCTAAGTCATCGCCACTAACCATTGCACCGATTGTGCCACCATCTCTGGCACTCGCCCAGTCCCAGGTGTCACCCACACCTACAAATGTACCTGTTCCCAGCGGGGGCTTCGTGCCGCCTGCATTTCCAAGTGTGAATGCGCCAGGACCAGCCGTCAGTAATACCACATCTGTGCTGACGCCCAATCCCTTTGCAGCGGCCGCTGGCAATGCTGGTCTTGCGTTTGTCAATGCCTTTAACAGCGCTCAGCAATTGGAGTTGGGCAAGATTATGCATGCAATGAATGCTTCTTCGGCATCAGGCACGCATGCAGCTGCAGCTATTCCAAAGCATCCACAACCTCCACAACATCATCCCCACACACATCCCAGTGAAGTTGGCTCAGTACCTACGCCGCCGGCTGCCCCCAGTGGCGCCATCAATTCCACAATTGCGGAGAATGTAATGAATTCACTAACCAGCGACGACGAACGCATGCGACGCGTCCAACAGGTCATCGAAGCTAGCTTGGAGTGAGTGGCTGTAACTGAACACTAGCTGTAATACTTATTAATTATCCATTCCATTTAGTCATACTGCAAAGGTACAGATCGCTCAAATTCTGGAAAGTGTGGCAGCGCTGAAGCCTATTGAGAAACTGTTCTTATATTTGCGGCTGCCCGGCGAAAGTGCCGATACGGACCCACTAAGACAACCGCAGAACCCACTGGGCACGCGATCCGAAATTAATCACACCATCAATTGGGTGCGCTCACACCTTGAACATGATGCTCAGGTCTCCATTCCAAAACAGGACGTTTACAATGATTATATGTAAGTTACCTAAAATTTATATTTAAATGGCTAAGTCTCTTAGCAAGACGGAATTGCTTGATACTAAGATTTCGTAAAATATATCTGATTTTTCAGCGCCTATTGTGAACGCCTGAGCATCAAGCCGCTGTCAACTGCGGACTTTGGTAAGGTCATGAAGCAGGTGTTCCCTGGCGTTCGACCACGGCGTCTTGGCACGCGTGGCCATTCGCGCTACTGCTACGCAGCTATGCGGAAGACCACGAAATTGACGCCGCCACAGCTGCCGCAGCTTTGCAAGGATGAGCCTCTCGATGACGCTCATACAACGGAGGCCATTCCCGCACAGATTATGCCAACACCGAATGTCACTGCGGATACACATGGCTCCAAAACAGAAAACGAGTGCAACTGGGATGTGGTGCGCAGCTGGGCAGAAAAGCTGCTTAACACCAAGCTGGAAAGCGTTACAGAATTGGCCACGCGAATCAAGAACAACAATGCAGCAATTAATGCGGCATTGGCACCCAAAAAGTACACACCCAGAGAGCCCAAAGAGAAGCGATCGCTTGCAGTAAGTTTATATCACTATTAATATATAAATAATAAAATTTCTTATGAACATCGCATCAACAGGACATGGGACCGCTGAAGAAGCGACGTAAAAAGAAACGCAAAGGTTCAACATCGTCGGAGTCGAGTTGCAATCAACTGAGTGGCGCTCAAGATGCAGGCAGTAGCCAGGAAGCAGTCATCGAAGAACACAAAACAGAGCAGTTACTGAAGATCAAGCAGGAGATTATAGACTCACCCAGTGGTTTTGTGACTTCCCAACCGCTTCAGCAGCCGCCGCAGCAGCAGCAGCAGGTTTTGCCGATGAATTTGGCCACAGAGCCGCGCAGTAATGCAGTGCGAAATCTAACTCCTAAGCTATTGGAGCTGCAAACTGCTGGAACAGTACCGCAGCCATTATCACCCAGTGCACTGGTCATAAAGGATGAGGCCGAGGAATATAACACCACCAATATATTTTGCAAAAAAGTGCTAAAAGCACAGCAGACCAAAGGCTTTT